GGAGAGGGAGAAAGAGAAGGAGACTTAGAAGGAGAGGGAGAGGGAGAAGGAGAGGGAGAGGGAGAAGGAGAGGGAGAAGGAGAGGGAGAGGGAGAAGGAGAGGGAGAAGGAGAGGGAGAAGGAGAGGGAGAGGGAGAAGGAGAGGGAGAAGGAGAGGGAGAAGGAGAGGGAGAGGGAGAAGGAGAGGGAGAAGGAGAGGGAGAGGGAGAAGGAGAGGGAGAAGGAAAGGGGGAGGGAGATGGAGAGGGAGAAGGAGAGGGAGAGGGAGAAGGAGAGGGAGAAGGAAAGGGAGAGGGAGAAAGAGAGGGAGAAGGAGAGGGAGAGGGAGAAGGAGAGGGAGAAGGAGAGGGAGAGGGAGAAGGAGAGGGAGAAGGAAAGGGAGAGGGAGAAGGAGAGGGAGAAGGAGAGGGAGAAGGAAAGGGAGAGGGAGAAGGAGAGGGAGAAGGAGAGGGAGAGGGAGAAGGAGAGGGAGAAGGAGAGGGAGAGGGAGAAGGAGAGGGAGAAGGAAAGGGAGAGGGAGAAGGAGAGGGAGAAGGAGAGGGAGAAGGAGAAGGAGAGGGAGAAGGAAAGGGAGAGGGAGAAGGAGAGGGAGAAGGAGAGGGAGAAGGAGAGGGAGAGGGAGAAGGAGAGGGAGAGGGAGAAGGAGAGGGAGAAGGAGAGGGAGAAGGAGAGGGAGAGGGAGAAGGAGAGGGAGAAGGAGAGGGAGAAGGAGAGGGAGAAGGAAAGGGAGAGGGAGAGGGAGAGGGAGAGGGAGAGGGAGAGGGAGAGGGAGAAGGAGAAGGAGAAGGAGAGGGAGAGGGAGAGGGAGAAGGAGAGGGAGAGGGAGAAGGAGAGGGAGAAGGAAAGGGAGAGGGAGAGGGAGAAGGAGAGGGAGAGGGAGAGGGAGAGGGAGAAGGAGAGGGAGAAGGAGAGGGAGAAGGAGAGGGAGAAGGAAAGGGAGAGGGAGAGGGAGAAGGAGAGGGAGAGGGAGAGGGAGAGGGAGAAGGAGAAGGAGAAGGAGAGGGAGAGGGAGAGGGAGAAGGAGAAGGAAAGGGAGAGGGAGAAGGAGAGGGAGAGGGAGAGGGAGAAGGGAAGGGAGAGGGAGAGGGAGAAAGAGAAGGAGACTTAGAAGGAGAGGGAGAGGTAGAAGGAGAGGGAGAGGGAGAGGGAGAGGGAGAGAAAGAAGGAGAGGGAGAGGGAGAAGGAGAGGGGGAGGTAGAAGGAGAGGGAGAAGGAGAGGGAGAGGGAGAAAGAGAAGGAGACTTAGAAGGAGAGGGAGAGGGAGAAGGAGAGGGAGAAGGAGAGGGAGAGGGAGAGGGAGAGGGAGAGTTAGAGTGAGAGGGAGAGGGAGAGATAGGAGAGGGAGAGTGAGAAGGAAAGGGAAAGGGAGAGGGAGAGGGAGAAGGAGAGGGAGACTTAGAAGGAGAGGGAGAGGGAGAAGGAGAGGGAGAGAAAGAAGGAGAGGGAGAGGGAGAAGGAGAGGGAGAGAAAGAGGGAGAGGGAGAAGGAGAAGGAGAAGGAAAGGAAGAGGGAGAGGGAGAGGGAGAGAAAGAAGGAAAGGGAGAGGGAGAAGGAGAGGGAGAGGGAGAGGGAGAGGGAGAGGGAGAGGGTGATAGTCTCAAGTTCTGTGGTTTCCATTCTTATCATGTATGTTTGTTAATTAATATGACATTCAGGCTGTTATGAATATTTCCTTTATATTTTTTCCAGCTTAACAAACTGCAAACTATAACAAATTATAATTTCTTTCGACATTATATGTGCATGAATATTTGTAAATGTTTAAAAGACATGTACTTTGACTTTCAAAACTGAATGTTTTCCTTGAAATACTGTGTTCTGATACATTTGAGCTATGATAACAGGCTTAAAATCCAGCATAACAGCGGTGTACTGTCAAGTGAATGCTGTGGCCTCTGCGCTGTATACCTCGGCAAAGGCAAACGAATTTCCATGTATAGTCAGGGTAGTAGAGACTGCACTAGTTGCTTATCTGTTGACGACTCTCCAGGGAGGTCGGTCTGTTGTGTCGGAATGCGTGTCGACGAGGTATATTATTTTTTCAACATTTTTCTTTTTTATGGATCTGTCAACTGCTCCACCCATTTTGCATGTCTACTTTGTAGGGATTCGCTACTTTATGCCCTCCCTCTTACTCACTATCAGTAAGATAACATTTACTTGAGAAGAACTGTAACGGCCCACTTATTAACTTTACTCTAAGACTGCACAAAAAAGAGCGCATCTTCATTTCTTAGCAGACCAAGATTTTGTTATTTCTGTTTATTACTTTAGATGCACTGTAATTAATAATATATAGTTGATAATTATTTATATCAGTCTGATTCAAAGCTGAAAAAACAGCTTCACACTATATAGAGTTCACGTACCATAATTCACTTTCTTGTGAAATTAAAGAAGAAATATATTCTCGTTATATGTAGAAAGCACATACCATTTCAACTTTATATAAGAATCACATCTATTAGTCACACCTCAAGGCAAGGGGTATGGCATTCAGAAACCTACACCTCAGAACTTCTTTCCTCTCTTTTCCACCATACATTTCCTTCGCCGAGCTGTCTCCGAGCTTACAAAGTTAGAAGTTCCAAGTCTATCTTTAACTAAAATTCTAATACATTAAGGCTGACCTCGGCCCCTTCATAAAAACTGACAACAAAGATCATCCTTATGTATTGTTGTAACTCTGTTTACTATCTTACATAAGACATGCTCAAGGAAAATACATTTTGAAGCTAAAATATGCAAATAGCATAAGATGACATTCATATAAATACCATTCTGCATGCATCAAAACCATGATTAACAACAAATGAATTTCGGTTTAGATATTTTCCAGCATCATAACATGTGTGCTAAGGGTCCTCAGGAGAACAATTAAAAAAGAAAAAGAAAAAGAAAAAGACTTATTTTAAGTGAATCTGTCACAACAAAGCAAGTGTGGTTAAATGTTAAATGTGTCTATGAATGTGTGTATGGCATCTGTTCGGAGGTTATGCAACAGATGGGCATTCTGAATTTACTGGTGTGGCTCGTCCTAATATCCTGTGGACCTTGAATTTTATTCTGATTGTTACATTCATGATTATTATTATCTTTTTAATTCCTAATGTCATCATGAGGTTATATTTCTCCCCCTTTTTTACCTCCTCCTACCACGCCTTTCCTCCCTTAAAAAGGGAATTAAACTGAGCACCGAAATGATAACTAATGTTTTACTACCGAACCTTTAAAAGCCGTCATGCCCTCGGGATACATCCCCCCCCCCCATTAACTGGAATACTACGTCTACATAATTTCTTGATATGTCTTCATTCATATACCATTACTATACATCATTGTTGTTGACATGGGATATAAAGTCATTGGCATGTTATGAGAAATATTTTGTAAGGAAAATCAGCACACTATGACTAAGCCAGTAGACATAACAGTATTTCAGCATTTTAATTGCGTTACGACTACTTTAAAATATGAAAACTAGGGATTTATAAATCAAAAGATTTTAAGCTGTTATTATGACCTGATTAATCATTTATAACAGCTTTATAACGCTTTTACCAAACAAGTTATATCACCTGCACGAAAATCTCGTTGGGCCTCATTTTAAATACTAATCTGTGATGACTATATTAATCATGGTTTGGTGAACTCAACAAGTTGACTGGAAACATTACATATGATAGTTGTGGTTTAGAAAAAAAAATGTTACTGACTGTAATAGGATTATATTCTGGCCTGGGGGTTATATTTTAGGGTAGCCTATTTTATACCCGGAGGTATAAATTAGACTAGGCCTAATTATAGCCCGGGGTTATTCTAGGCTAGCCCAAACTAAAACCAGGTATAGTCTAGGAGGGGGCTAATATGGGCTTCTGCACCGACAACAGGTTCATGAGGCAAGAGAGGAAAGACACGTCAACATATATCAGCCAAACCGAAGGACGAAGGGAGATGGAAGGGAGAAGCTCAGACTCAAAGTACTCCATGAACAGCTTAACCAGCATAGGAGAGAGAGGAGAGCTCAAGGAAAATGAATTAGACTTTACATACAAACGAATCAGCTGGAGGAAGACGTCGGTGGTCAGAGAGAGAGAGCTTCCTCTGAAGGAAAGTGATGACATCATCAAGCGGGACCTTGGTGAACAGGGAGTCGAAATCTAAGCTCATCATGGTCGCCGGCGAGAAACCACGGATACGGCAGATGTAGTCCTGAGAGTGGCGAAGGTGAGCAGGAGAGAAGGTGCCAAGAAGGGGAGTCAGAGACTTCGCCAGTCAAGCCGTAAGAGGGTGCGTCACAGATCCCCGGGAGGAGATGATGGGGCGCAGTGGGTTTTGGGTAACCCACAGAAATGAGGGAGACGAGGGTTGATGACCTTGAACCTCTGGTTGATATTCGCTTCCGAAAAACAGACTGTTAACTCTTTTAGGAAGGAAGGTAACAGCAATGCGTTCTGGGGGTTGCTGGTCAGGGAGACATAGGTGGAGGGGTCATCCAACAGGTCCTGGGCCTTCTTCAGGTCCGGTCCTCCATTGACTTACTCTTGTCAGAAGGCAAAATGGTGACATCCTCCCTGCGCAAGCTTTGAAAGGTTTAAAAGGTTTAAAGGTTTAGTTTTAGTCTATTTGTTACAATGGATATTCTTGGTGTGACAGTGTCTGTTTCATTTTGCTTCTAAGTTATTCCCTGTGTGCAAGGAATGGCCGGGGTTACCATCCACTGGCGGCGAGGGATTCGAACGCAGGTCAGCAAGACTGCTAGACGAGATCGCTATCGCTGCACCACACAGCACACGGTAACACTTGGGAATAGAAGGGTTGGGATGGAGGAGGAACTAAAGGGCCGGGATAAAAGCACCACGAAGGAGAGATACATCGGGAAAGGAGTTCCTATGAGTAGAGATGAAACGGTCGAAGGATGGAATAATGTCGATGGAGGTAGGGAGGAGAGGGCGGAGAGAAAAGGTGACTGCAGACGGTGAGGCTGGGGGGTTTCTGGGAGGGAGAATGGCCATGAGTGGGTGAGAGGAACCGGGAAGAATCATGGGCAACGACGGCCATGAGCTGCAGACCTGTGTGGAGAGCCACTCCTTCAGGAAGCTCGAACGAACTTACAAACAATGGAAGGCATGTTCGACATCCCTCTTACCAGCGCGGATACGTTCAAGGAGAAGAGAACTTGCATAGTCCGGAAAGGGAGATCCTTCCTCTGAATGTTTCAGTAGACTAGAGATCAAGGAAGGGAGCATCTGCTTGGAATCGATTACTTCGATTAATTTTGCGATTAGTAACCAATTACTATTTTATTATTTTCGCCTGTAAGTAGATTATGCAGTGGTATATTTATGGAGTATAAGGTATATATTTATGGTTTTAGTGTATCTCTCTCTCTCCCTATCTGTGTTTCTCTCTCTCTGCGCGCAAATGTGTGTGTGTGTGTAAAAGTCATATGATGCAAGGCCAGAAGAATAAGGAGGATGCGGAAGGATGTCATTGACACAAACCGCGCTTCCACCTTTGCAATGTGAGAGTTGTGAACAAGGGTGTTGTTTTTTAGGAGGCGGACACCTGTGGTTTTGATAGCCCCCGCAATTTCTGTAGCAGTGAAGCGTAGTAAGCTCCTGTTATGTAGTACCTTTTTCCAGGAAGCCTTATGGGGGGGATGGTAAGTCATTGCTTTGACTGAGCCTTATTTTCTGGATCATAGTTTCATCCTGCATAATTCATTGTCAAAAAAGCCGTGCTGGTTTTCTTGGTATATGCCTAAAAGAGCTTAGGAACAATGGATTCATTCCTGCTTCTGGAAAGATGTAAGTGTCCTCATCAATAGCAGACTGTGGTCGCTTTAGGATAGAAGTCATTTCCATAGATCTCCTACCACAGCTGAACTGGCGATGCCCCATACGTTGATTTCATTTCATCGAAGGTCCATTCAAGTATAAAAACCTAATCACTGCTCGATACTCTACTGCCATTTTCACACTTCACTGCAACTCCGAAGCTGTAACAAAAACCATTATATATATATGTATATATATATATATATATATATATATATATATATATATATATATATATATATATATATATGTATATATATATATATATATATATAT